TGTACAGCACTGCACCCACAGCCCCGAAGCCATCAGCTGGCTCACAGGACCCATCAGTGTACAAGTACCAAGTTGCAAGTGATTTTGCGGATATCTGCAAAGGAATCGCAGATTGCAAACGCTCCTTCAAGACTTGGACAGAATGTATCACTGAAGACGGAAGCTGCTTGGACGTTGCCCCCGAACGCGCCATGTGATCAATGGTCCTCAAGGCCTGAGCAGGACCTCGACCGTAGACATGTCCTTCGAAGAAGTTCATTCTCCCTCGAAGACTTTCTGATTCTTTTTGGCTCAAGTGGTTGTTCTCAAGCACTGCAGACAAGGAGTCGCTCAGTTCAGCAATCCTCTTTTCTGTGTGTCCGAGTTCAACCACTCCCTTTCTGAAGCCCTCAAGATTAACAGAAAGTCCTAACATGCTGAAGGTCTCACTAAAAGGAGGCGCCTTGCGTCCTTCCTTCGCGAAAGTCAGGCCTAGCAACCCAAAAAGCGATTCGATTCCATAAGCGGTGTTTTTCTTTAGGGACTCTTTGCTCACGACACTGTAGTCGTCGAAGAAAGCCGTCCACATTGTTCGCAGGCCTAGTATTCCAAGCTGCCACAAACACACACTTATTCTAAGGAAGGCCGAAACCGAACCTATACCCCCGAAGCGGAGGGAACTAAACCCATACAGGATGGGGTCAGGGTTCCCTGGCTCTGCGACCAAGAATCTTAGCATGTCGAAATCCTTTCGGCATATCGGAAATTGCTTGTATGCGCTCTTTAGGTCGTATGTACGACCGCACAGAGAGAAGTTGGGGTCATTCACAAGCGAAGTGGCGTAGGCTAACATGGCAGCCGTTTTGTCGATCGAGTGCAGCACAAATCGTTCGCGGAGCCCCACCGTCGCACTCAAGCCACAACACGATAGGTCACCTATGACCCTGACCTTTTCTCCCTGTCGGACGCCAAAGCGCCTGGCCACCACTTTACCATCCATGGCCTGATCATCACACCTCCAAATCCAACCTTGAGACTCTTCCTCCAAGGTTTCCTCCCAAGTGGATTTCTCAAGCTGCTCATCTTGTCTCAGCTTGGCCTTTTGCAGAGTAGCTGCATTAAACCCATCGGCTAGGATTTGAAGCGCCTCCACGGATAGCTCAGGCCTCTTTGCAGCCGGAGGGAAAGAGCCACTCTTAGGCATCCAACCACTAAGACTAAACCCTTGGATCATATCATCGACCAACGAAGCGTCAGGCAACTTGTAGTGGTCGATCATTTCTTTCCAAAGCAGCAACCTTTTCCCTTTAAGGATGTGTCTGATGTGATCGGGAAGGCCTTCATGTAGCTTTCGCTCTTTCTCTTCCAACGCCTTTGCCCTCGAAGTCCATTTCGCGACAAAGGCAAGCCTAGCCTTAGCCAGGTTCACCTCGTCACCCAAGATGTTGTCTTTCACCACCTCCTTCAAGACTGGGTCCAAGGATGAAGCGAAATCAGCTGGATGACCAGTTGCCACCGCTTTCCGGACGAAGGCTTCAGGGGTGGCTGGAACACCATAGGTGGACACTTCTATTAGTGTGTCCGGTGCAAGCGCCTGCTGATCCAACTCACACTGCACTCCTAAGTCAGGGATCCTCTTCTCGGCCTGGAAAATCCCCCACTGAAGAAGGTGCCGGGAAAGAAAAGCAGCTTTGGGCGGGCCTGGCGGCGCAGTCAGCGATGGCAAAGTAACAATCTGCAGATAGTGCCCATATTCTGGGAGCAACTGAGGTAGTTTGGCCCCAGCAGGCTGCAAGCCTAAAACCAAGCGTTGCGCAGGTTGGGCTACACCCGCGGTGGCGGCATTGAGGGACCGCCTAGAATGTGCACCACAATTTATACAAGCTTGCTTCAGCATGCCAGCGACACGCTCGCAGAAGAGCACCGGGTACTCTGCATTTGCTGCACTTGCGAAAGGCCGGCCACCGTCCGGAGCGACTGGCCGCCAGGGCTCGTGTTTGCATTGTTTGGAACCCGGGCACGTGGCAGCCAGGTGTGCAAAGGTACCATCTGAAGCCCATAATTGCACATGTTTCGGCCTGCGACCGCCATGTTGGCACATGTGGAACTGCACAGTGGAACCTGAGTGCAAAGTCTCCAAGGATTTGAAGAAATCAGTGTGCCAATAGAGTGATGTGACGGGGTTTTCCACAACACATCGGACTCCACGCTGCAAGGCAAGTGACAGCAGCCTCGTAACGGATGCATACAGCATACACCATATTTGCTGCTTCGCACTTCTTTTTATCCAAGCCAACCAGACCATCTAAGCCGTGAGGTTGAGCAGCGCTTCGGAGAGGCTTTGGCACGGGAAGGCCAAGCTTATCAAGCTTGGGCACAGGCTTTTCTCTCGCAGTGCTGGCAGTGCCATGAGGAACACCCGCCCATATCAATGCGATTCTGTGTGACTCGGCAATGATGAGTTGCTCCAGACTGTGCGCTGCATCTGGGTTTGCAAGATCAAGCTGATGAATCCTCACTTTCGGTTTTCTGTCGAAGGGAACTTTATGGGCAATTGGCATCACCTCGAAGCCCAATTTGTGGCAGGCCCAACTAAGGTTCGCCGAGCTGCAACAAAGCTCTACCACAAGGAGGTCCTCTACACACAGCTGCGACTGCTCCTGATGGAACATTGTTTGCTCCCCAGTTTGCACAGCCTTCTGCAAATGGAAACCCCGTTCCCTAAGACAACAAATCTCAGCAGGCTTAAGCTTATGCAGGAACCTAGGGGTGTATGCCACCAGCACACACCTCCTGCCTGTCCATGGCAGGGTACAGTGCTTTGATGTAGCCGCAGGCAGCCACTGGGGACCTTGCGAAACATCTAAAATGTGACCTGTGATGGATGCATCCAGGGGGCAGGGCACAGATCCGGACTCGGCCTGATACCATACCCCTCCCAACTCAAAATCTATCAGTGGTATTATGACATTCCATGTGTCAGGATCATTGTTGGTGTCCTGATGCAAGTCGGATTGAGTTTGATCAAGAATCGTGAATGCGGCAAATGGATAGTCACCTGCAAACTTCTTGATGAAACCACACACAACCTGCACCGACAAAGGAAAATCTGAAGTCGTATTGTGGAGGCCTACCACCCCCCCATGCACAAAGCTGCCGGCAGAAAATGATTGCCCTCGCACGCTACCCTTGCGAGGTGCCTCGACTTTGCGCAGAGAAACGTAAAGTTGCAAAATGTCTGATGCGTCGCCAGTCAAAGTGGAGGCCAACTCTTCAGCCAGCCTGCCTCCATCTAGCTTTATCCGCTTGGCACGAAAATTGTGGTCAGTGCCAACCTCCGACTGGTGCTCGCCTGAGGACTCATCAAGCTCAGATGTGGCACTTGCCTCAGGCGAGGCATCTTGTCAGGCTTTGGGCTGATTTGTCCTTGCCCTGCAATTGCTGAAGCTGTGACCGGGCTTGTGACAGAACATGCAGACATGGAAACCCTTCTGGCACTTTGGCAGACCTTCGACCACTTTGGTCTCGGAGGTGCAGCCCTCCAGGTTGAAACCCCAGCAGCAAGGGCCCTTACTAAACTTTTTGCAAGATTAGAGGGCATCCGGGATTACCTTCTTCGCCTTCTTCCTCAAGCGAACCTTCTTTGGCGGTGTTGGGACTCCTGGCGGTAAGGGGTCCTCTGACCCAGTCGCCAGACACTTAGAGGCAGCACTCGCAGGCGAAGGCAACAACCACATCTGAACCCTAGAATCAAGCATCAGGTTCCTGAGTGCATCGCCGAGCGGCTTTGAGCCATCCGTCCTGGGTTTGAAAGGCGGAGGGAACTCTTGGGCCATGATGGTGAACAGCTCCTTGTCCGCCCTAATGACCCTAATGATTTGCGCCACAGTAACCTGTCCAAATCCTGGGGGAACGGGCGCACTCATAGCGAAAAGCAGCCTGTGGATATAGTCTTGATGAGTGTTCCAATCTATCAAGCCGCACTGGTCAAAGGCTACGGCTATGCCCCGTCTCTGAAGCGCAAAGTGCAACAACAAAGGGGTTGTCAAGTCGGCTTTGGTCTCGGCCTGAGACGAAGTCACCTTCAAGGCTTCCTTTTCAACCTGTATCACCTTCGCCTTTGGATCAATTCCTTGGGCAACCTCCAAGTCACGCTTTCCACACATCGACGGGGAGATCCAAACAAGTTGCCCAGTCTCCAAAATGTGGTTTACCCTGTCTATCAGAGAGTATGATGGCTGCATCTCTCCCGATATCGAAACGCCAGCTAGCCTCCTCTGCTGCTCTGCCAGCCTAGCTGCTCGCTGGGCCATCGGGAGCTTCCTTACCTGACCTTCAGCTGCATCAGAGCTGACCTGGTCTTTCAGGGCCTGAATGACGTATGTCATGGCTTCAAAATGCAAATCCCGAAGCTGCGCTACCCTACCAATCTGAGCCGCCGCCCCGAAGAGCTGAGTTGCCAGCTGCTGATACTGCTCCTGGGTAGGCTCGGACCTTGGGGTGCCTATTGCAAAGGCAAGCTGCCTGAAAGTTCGTATGCCCTGCCCTGATAAGGCCGTGAAGAGACTTCCATCCGGGGTCACCTCTAGACATCTCTGTCTGAGCGCTGCCTCTGAGGAAATCAAAGCCATCAGCGGCACTACCTACAAAATCTGAGAGCTGACACAGAACTTCGATGTCCAACATGTTGTCATTTCCCAACATGAAGACATGCCTGCTCTCTGAGCCGTCACGCACATAAGCCGCATGCTCACCGTAGAACTTGCACCGCCGGGGACAGACTCGTGCATTCCAAGGGAAAGCGACTGCTGGGAAAGTTCACCAGCGTGCAACGTCTCATTTTCCTCTCTCGTCTCAATCACCGTCTGAAACAAAATTGACAAGGCTTCATTCCCTCGCCCAAAGCCCGCGATTGGAGCTTCACGTGCTTCTGGCTGACTGCCCTTCCACACGACAAAAGATTTCTAAAATTGCAAGACACACCTAAGTGAGCTATCTTTGACGTGGCATGAAGCCAAATGTCAAAACCCGCAGGCACAGCCTCTCCACGGGCCACAACAGCCACAGGCCTGAAAGTCCTCTTCCTCAGCGGAATCCGTGGAGCTTCCTAAGCACTCCAGCTCCTCCTCGATTTCACTGTCAGAACCATGCACACTGACAGCACTCCCGAACCCCGCATCACTGCGCATTTCCTCCTTGACTACCGGCCGAGGTTCCAAGGAAGGGCTAGCCGGCAACTCGTCAGGAATCCCTCTGCCTACTACCGGCTTTGCCAACGGCTCAAGCAGAGGAACTGGCGATCCTATCAACCGGCCTCCCCTCCACTCATCCGGTTTAAACCTGCCCTCACGCACCTCGGCCAAGAGCTTTTCGACGATGAGGGTGTCTGGCGCCTGTGCGTCGCGACTATACACGACGTCGAGGCCTCCTGCCGCGTGATAGCCTAGCTTCTGAAGGGATAGGCCGTCCACCCCCCTCTTAGCCGCCCATGACAGAACGGTCGCCTTAAAGGACTTTGACGAGGGCTCCACGGCTTGCACAGGCTCTGGACGGAAGATAAGCCGCAGCCAAGTGGTAGCTTCATCCGAGTCGATGCCTCGGACTGTCGGAGACCCACTCGCATCCGGCGCCGGGCAGAATGGCATAGATCTTTCATCCTCAAGTCCGATTGCCCTCCTGCTAGCGAGCCAGAGCTCGCCGAAGTCTTGGAGCCCCATGCTAGGCGATACGACATGCAAGAATCGATGCCTCTTGCTCTGCAATCGACAAGTCTTGTGAACCCCTATCCGAAGTTCCAAGTAAATCAGCACACCGCCCGAGTCCCTATCTATGATAAGCTCCTCAGAGTGCTGAATGTCTGACCACCTGCAACGGCTGTATGTCGCGATCAAGGCACACCCAGCAAAGTGGCGGGTCCAAGGGTCGCTGTGCGATCGCAAAGTTTCATGTAGTCGCATAAGCTGACTTACCGTTAAAGCCGGGGCTTGTCTCGATTCTTTGAAGGTCTCAACCATCCCGACCCCTTTGCATCGCCGACTGGTGATGAGGGCATCGACCTCGTCCACTCCTACGACGTACCTTACGAAGACTATGGCCTCGAGCAGGCCCGTGCACCTGCTCTTCGGCGCGTTCTCCTTCTCCAGCTGCTTCAGATAGGCATACAGCTCCCTTTCCACGCAAGGAAAGGTGGCAGACTTACTCGCCAAATGATGCTGGAAGTTTGCGAGGGCTCGCCCGCGCTTCAGGAGGGTAGAAGGTGCTTTACCCCGGAATCCCGGAAGACATCGTTGACCACCGCCCGCTGAGGATCCCCAGGCGGTTCAGCATCAAGCAGCTCTATAAACTTGCAGCTTCCCCAGTCTTTCATGAGCGTCAACCACAAGTCAATGCCAATCTCAAACTGAGCCTCCCTCTGCTCACTCCAAGCAACGGGAACCCTTATCTTTACAGCTGATGCAACAGAGACACCTTTGTCCAGGATTCTCGATCGCTTCGCTGCAGCGGGGGCATTCGACTGGCTCTTCTCATCTGTCGGTAGCAGCGTAGGCATGGATCGCTTCAAGTCTGGCAACACATCGATAACCGATTCCCCGAAAATCTCTCCAAAGACACCTTCTTCCCAAGGCAATTTCAAAGGATTTCTCTCCGGTAAGTTGCACTGAGCTTGCACTGCGATCCTGAAGGTCGAAGAAAAATCAACGACCCCGTCTCTGACGTTATCTGAGGCAGCAGGACTCACCTGCTCCTTATCGCGGACTTGATCCCACCACTTGCTCTCTGAGCCCACCCCGTCATTATCATCTGACATGGGACCACAAGAGAAGTCTGGCGAGAACCCTACACTAGGCGGGCTCCCGGGTGCTAAGGAACCAAAGTCACGGGCCCCGGCCGGGGAGGAGGCAAAGGAATCTACCGGGAGCCCTACTGCCGGAGGCTGGTCTTTCAATCCCAACTCTAACCTTGCAAGGCTTTCCGATTCGGGATCAGGATCTGTTGCACAATCCACCACTGGAAAAGAATTCAGATCTTGAGGCTGTGAAGGCTGAGGCTGCACGGGGACGGTAGAGGGGGCCGAAGGCTCACTCTTGCTAAGCGGGCACAAAGACCGCGCAAATAAGCACACCACCTTTCAACGATACCGAGTCTGGTTTCAAAGCGAGCCTGAGCTTGATCGGCCAGGGCAGCCCTTGCTTGCAGATCACGTACGTCGTAGTCAATCAAGTTAACTTGGTGCCTCAATCCCTGCACTAGCTGGGCAAGCTGGAGGCTGCAGAGGGCCCAGCTGAATCCATGCAATGGAGCGCGCGGATGAGAACACCAGCTTACGGAGGCAAGGGCCTGCTAGACACAAGTAGGAAGCTCTAGAGGCCCAAAAGAAAACTTCAGCTCAGTGAGCCAGACTGCACTGCATGAAGCTTCTCACTATCCATGAGTTGAAATCAAATCAAGCAAGCTAATTTGCCCAAGCAAATTTTTACGGACCTACGAATAAAGTCACATCCCCTTTTCGAGTGGCTGTTTGGGGAGTGTTGACATAATCCTCGCGGAGGTGTTTCAGGGTGGACCATTGCTTCGAAGGTGGGCCTTTACTATCCTGGAGCAAATTGCTTGACCGCTTTGCACAGCTTCCGAAGGAGGTCGTGATCGTCTGGCGGCGTCTGGGCAATCCTGTCGATGATGCGCTTGGTGGGTTCTGATAGGTACTCCTTTTTGTATAGAGTGTTTTGTTTGGTTCTGGGAGCTGCGCGCGGCAGCTTGTTGTAAAATGGAAGCCTGTTCTTCTAGGGAAAGGTGTTCAAAATTAGTTGGCGCACGCACCTGTAGGGTTTCCCCCAGCGGTGCCCGCACTGGGTGTGAGTGCCTACCAAGATTAGAGGAGGAAGTAACGCCCGTCTTAGCTAGCTTGTCAGTGCGCTCGTTACCCTCTTGGCCAGCATGTCCCCTAACCTTTATCAGGGCGATCTGGATCTGTGGTAGCAGATGATCAATCAGCCTGCGGATTTGCGTGAAAAGATACTGGTGCCGCGTTGGGATAGAGAGCCCGTGTAAAGAATCACAGGCCAACTGAGAATCAGTGAAAAGGTTGATCAGCGGCTGGGTGCGTAGCGTAATTGACGCTATTCTCCCAGAGTAGGGGAGAAAATCTGAAACAAGAGGTAAAGAGCGGGCCGGGACGAAAAAGCCCACCCCTGCCATGTGTTCTGCCGGAGTACCGGAAAGGAGGAGCTTGCCCCCGGATGTTCTTCGCTCGTCTGACGCAGTAGCTTTGGTCTCTTGAAGAGCCATAATATCAATGGATTTGGACTTGACAAAGTCCGCTAGGGCTTCCTGTGTTCCATGACCAATTAAGGTTTCAATATTAAAAGTGACTATGTGCAACTGATTGCGCTCCGGGCGCCAGGTAAGAAGGCGAGGTGGTAGGTCGAGGAGCGATTGTTGAACATAAGATTTAAAAAGATGGGCGCGTGAACCTACCGTCGGCGCTCACGTTTTGCCATAGGCTCTTTCGATTTGCGCAGGACTGTTCGTTACCCTTTTCGGAGGGAGCCGGGGATCGGACTAGGGTAAATTTTCCATCCTCCGGCGCGTTCTTAATCCACTGACGAGAACGGCGTCTAGATTCCGATCGGTCGGCTTGATATCTAGATTGTCGGCTCAACACAGCACGCGTGGAGCGCAAACACTGGTGACCTCGAGAAAAGTTTCCCTCCGACGCACAGCGAGATTCGTGGCCACTTGTCTCATAGATGGTGCGGCGATTTGCGCCGTTATGCAGTCCAATAAAATTTCGTAATACATGTTTGGGTTGACCGTGGCCCCCCGGCGTGCCGCTGGCGGCTCTCGCAGCACAGAAATGCTTGTATAAGTTGCGGGCTTTGCTACCATAATAGACCGAGTAATGCCTAACGCCCCGACGATAGTACCAGAGCGAGAGGTGTGCCGTACAGTAGTGGTCCTTGTGGCCTTGTGAACCGCCATACCGTTCTTAAGACAAACGGGAATCGTTTTAAAGACTTCAGGGCAATATGCAAACGTGCGGTCGATCAACGAACAGTTGCAAATCCTACACCAATGGTTTCCCCTCAGAGCACGCAAGCGACGGTTGAATTTTTGCCTCGAAGTGAACCAATGATCCGCGGCACTGTCACAACGGCCCGTGGCAAAATGTGACAAACTGTAGCAAAACCTTAGCCTCTCAGAACCCTGAACCTGAACGGCAAAGGGGAACCGAGGGCGAAAGGGGAGAAAAGGCTGGCACTGAGGAGTTGACCTCCCCTGGCGGTAGCAGCAGCTGTGTTGCTGCAGCAAGCTTTGCCCGTGATGGGCCCGACTCTTTGAGTTTTCTTTCCTCAACGGGATATTGGCAATCAGAATCCTAATGGCAATCAAATCGTTCCCGTGGGAACTATTGGCAATCAGCTGTCTCCTGCGGAGACTAATGGCAATCAGAATCATAATGGCAATCAAAGTGGTACCGGCGAGCATAGTGATATTGGCAATCCGTTCTTTGCTTGCACTCTGGGAGAAACCTAGATGGGGCAGTCAAGGCTCGGCTTAGGGAGTACTGGTAAGATAGGTGTGATTTTTGTCGGTTCGGGTGGGGTTGGGCCTGTTGAAAAGCGGTGTTGTACAGCTTCAAGTAGGGCTGCTGTGGGCCTCTAGGCTTGCTCTGCGGGCTCCCCAAAGGGGAGAGAAAAAGTCAGTAAACCGAAACAACTTGAACCCAGGAATGCCTGGTGCCTTGGTGCTGATGTTGAAACATGGCCCATGCCGTTTTCCAAGTAAGGAGGTTAGCCCCGCCCTCAGCTAGGGCTAGCACGATAGTTTCCATGATGTTCCCTTTGTTCACGTGGGCCCTCCACTGAACACCCTGAATCTCTTCGTGGGAGAATTTGAGTAAAGGAAGAATATACTCGAGCAGCTTGACTAGCTCGTTGTTGGGGGCTTGAAGTTGTGACTTCTTCGTGTCCCGAAGAACACCATAGACTGCGGCAATCTGCCAAAAAATCCCGTCAAAGAAAAGCGAACCAAAGCCCGCTGAAGTGCCAACCCCTTTGTTGTCGAAAGGGGCGGTGGCGAGGATACAGGCTTTCAGGGTAGAGTCGTTGTCTAGATACCACACAAACTCCTCAGCTAAAGTCTGGAAAAGGTCCGTGGTGGTTCGGGTCCAGGTGTCCTGAAGAAACCATTCCAACAACTGTTGAGTCCAAGCTAGGTCAGGCGGGTTCGTGTTGGTAAGCTTGGCCTGTTCATACACTATGCAAAGGGAAGATGCAATCAGCCTATCCCGCGGCATCATGGGGGAATGGCAAACGTCTACGGTCCGGGCCCAATCTCCTAGAGCATAGGGCTTTGCTAATTCATCAAAGTGTTTGGCCCAAACTTCCTTGAAGTACTGCGCGAACCAAGAGGCTGTATAGAAAGTGGCCTGAAGAACGGGTTCCCGAGAGTTTGGAGCCATCCCGGGACGTGAAGTCCCCAATATTACCACGGAGGCCAACGTGCAGTCGGCCATGATGAAGTGTCATGAGCAGTCCATTCTGCCTAGTTTGGATCAGCTTTATCAGTGCTGCGATGCTTTTTACAAGATGGCACAGCATGAGTTTGCCCTGATGCAGTATACGCTTGAGAGACAGGCGGCCCAGTTGCAGACATTGGAGCGCGCGCGTACCAACAAGACGGTTTTGCTGATGGGTTTGCCACCTATATTCAGCAAGAAGATCCTCGACAACAATATCCAGTATTACCTTCAGCTTTCGAATCTTTCCTGGGACACCATAGCTGCTTTACACAATCATATGGTTACCTCACACACTTCTGTTGTGAGGGTGGGGTTTATCACGGAACAGCAAGCTACACAACTCCGAGAGGCTATGAGGCAGGGACGCCGTAGTGGCGAACAAGCGACATCAAGAGAGTGGAAGCTGACCTTCCCACGGATGATCGGCTTTCAATGCAACCCAACTACGCCCTGTCGGATGTGCTGGCCGAACTGGCCGAACACCTTGGGGAAGACACTGTCACCCTACAAACCTGGAGGCAGACAAGTACTTTTGGGTCAGGTGAGCAGCTTGGATTCGCGCTTTGTGCGAAGGTATTCTTGCTTGGTTTTGGTCCACGACAAGTTCTACGACGTAGCAAATTTTCCCGACGCTACTCCGTGTGATCCAAGCGCTTCGCGACGTGCGTCTCACTCACAGGCTTTTCCACACCCGATCAAACCGGTACGTTTGTCTGATGCTTGAGTCTCACTCTATGTTCCCCCCTGCTTTGATCTTCTCCAAGATCAAGTGGAGGGCAAGTCTTGCCGCTCTAACACATTGCACGCTTACTTTTGCATGTCATGCTGTCGAACTATGCCTTGATGTGCCGCTATGTGCCATTGCGTCCATGCTTTACGGGATGAAATCTGGGAGGCGGAGCATCTGAGAAAGGACGATGTTGAGTAATTGCTGAACGACTCTTGCCGGCTTCGCCTGTTGGTCGCAGCACGTTTCGCCGATTATGAGTTGTCTTTTTGGCTTCTTGTTGCTTTTTGTTGATTCTATTGGGACGGAGTGCGGCAACCGCCGGACAAGGTCTACTCACGCCAAACAAATTCTGCCGCAAAGAAAAAACGTCTTCTCCAGACACGCGAAAGAGAAAGCCACACGCAATCGTTTCAGGTGGCACAAGAATGAAAAAACGTCTTCTTAAGAGACTCTGCACAACCACTTCTGGGGGCATGCTCCATCGTAGTTCGGCGAAGGGGGGCTTGAGAAGGGGGGGCTTCTCGAATGGGGCTTGAGAAGCCCCCTGCCCGGGGGG